GAGAGTTCAGACATCATCATCATCACTTTGTAGAATGGAAAGATCAGTTGGCTGTCCCTAGGAAGAGCCACTTGCTTGGTCTTTAGGACTCAGTGACTTAGGACACTCACTTGGCAAGTTGTGTCACAGCAAAACCATCACCAGGAGGGGAAGGGCCTCTTCATTTAAGCATGACAGAGAAATCAGAGAGCAATGGTCCACATGATAGTTTTAAAAGGGAAGCAAGATACATGTAATAACATGGATAAATCTCAAAACATGTTGAGTCAAATGTCATACACAAAAAAATACACATGAAGTTCAAGAACAGATAAAAATTAGTCTATGGGTATAGAAGTCAGAATACTAGTTGCTTTGAGGATAAGGAGCTTTCTGAGATGAGAGAAATGTTCCATCTGTTGACTAGAATGATAGTTACATGAGAGTACACCATTGTCAAAACTTACCACACTGTGCACTTTGAATTTGTGCATTTCATTGTTTATGAATTAGACCTCAACTAGCAAAAAAAAAAAAAAAAAAAAAAGGAAGCAACAGTTTTTACATGGAGGGGAATACTGAATACTGGCAAATGGAAGAAAGAAGTAGGTTCCACACCATCAGTTCCACTACCATGCCAGGCAATTTCTTCTGCGCCAAACTCTGGGGTAGCTATGAACTGACATTTCAAAATAAACTACAGGTAGAGGAGAATACATTTTTCTAAAAATAAATACTTTATTCTGGGCCAAACATTAGGTTCAAGCCCTTGTTTCTCTACAATTTGAAAGCCTTTTCATCACCATTTCTTTTCTAAAACCATCCCAGAAAATTGTTTTCCAGAGTTAGCATCCTTTAGGAGTTACTCTCCCTCCTCCACTGCCAGCTGCATGTACATGTTATTGCATAACACTAACTGTATAAACTTCATGCCCCTAATGCCACAGAAAAAGGAAGCAGAGTTGAATTTATCAGTCAAAGTCAAATTCATGATTATCAAAAGTTAGGAAAAAAAGAGAATTTGGGCACCAGAAAACTTTCAAGAGAGAATCCTGACAATCAAACATAAATACAGACCCCCCAAGGGTGGGGAAATGGAATGGGCAGTTGGAACTGGAACAAAAAATCAGTGATCGTAGACCTAATTCCATCATTAAGTACTTGTGTGACAAATTCCTTCTGCTTGTTATCGCAGATGACAAAAAGGTCATAGGTGAGGCGGACTCTGCTTCAGTTTGATTCCTCTGCTGTTCTTTCTGCTCCATCTCCATCTCTACCTCTGTCCCTTTTTACAGCTATTTCAGGAATCCCATTCAGAGCTAACATTGACAGAAAAAGAATTTCTTTCCCTTGCCTCTTTTTATGATAGGAAATCTTTCCTATGGTTTCCTACCAGATTTCCCTTACCATCTCATTGGCCACATGACCCTTCCTAAGCCAATCCCTGGCTAAATGAATGAGGCCACCTGAGTAGCTTAGGCCAATTATGGTGTACTCCTGAGTCTTCAAGTGAAGGAGGTATGGACCCCCAGTCAGTCAATCTAGTACCAATCAGGATAAAGGGAGTGTTGCAGGTAGGGTTTCCCCAACCCTGAGACAGAGGTTTTTATGTAGGGATTTTACTGGGGAGTACTCTCAACATCAACGCATGGAGGAAGTGAAGTAAGCAGGAATGTATAGAGAAGTTGAACTAGTTGAACTACAATACAGCCAAAACAAAGGCCTTAGCTGATCTTTCAGGCAGCCCTGGTGCTAGGATAGCTCAGAGTTGTCCTAAATCAGTGTGAGAGCTGAGCCTTTTTACTCTTGATCCACCAGACACTGGATGAGGGTTGCCCTTTGGAAAGAAGCCATAACCATTGGCAAAGTGGCTGTTTTCAGCAGAGGAAAAACCTCAGAGGAACTCTCAGCTGACAGTTGCTGCTGTTAACACTCCCAGAATATTGGGAAATGAGAGCTTCAATCTTGGAGGGGTAATCTGGGTGGCATCCACTATAGGGGAGCCATCCCTAGCTCAACCCAGGTCTCCTAGATACCAACTTGGAGTCGACATTTATGTCCTGAGAAACCATGTCAGCCTTTACCAGAACCACTTCTGGAACCCAATTATCTTACTACCCATCTACTTCCTTAGGAAGAAGTGATAGGAGAGCTTCCAAGTGTCAGCTACTATCCTGGCTTTTAAGAGTTAAACAGCTGGGAGATGGCTATGTGGACTGAGTTTGGGTGGGACCCAAGCCCTCAGACTTAAGAGGCATGATGCCCACAAGAATGAAAATCCACAGGATTAGTCTCAAACAAGCTGGGAGCCTGCTAAACCCTGGCATCTGCTGAACTTCCCAAATTACACACATTAAGCTGTTCAGTTCCACATTTTCATAGTGTGCTTCCTGCCAAGCTTCCTAGCACAGTCTACACAATAGGAAATCAAATGAGCAGTTAGAGCAATTATGGATATGGCAGGTCAAACAAATAAGCCCTTATTTAGGACTTAAACAGACATAGTCAACAAGGGTCTAATCCACAACTGAGATTTGGACAAAGAAAGGCTTTATAAAACAAAAGGTTGGGGGGGGGTAGTGGGTAGAGATATTTGCATGAATTTTTTTCTCTGTCTCGCTGAAAATACTAAAATAACATTTTATCCAGCCTTTGCATGATGCTTCCCTGTCTCTCCACCCCAGCCCCTTGAACATTCTCTAGCTCTGTTATTCATCTTGTAGGCTCAACTCATAGGAAGTGTTATGCTAGAGTATGAAAGTAGTCATCATTGAAAAGAGTTAGGGAATTAATTTGTTCATTGTTATATACCTAGTTAAATACCCAAGAATTAAAGCCATACACATGTATGTTTGTGTATATACTCAGGAAGTACAGAGACTATGTGTTGCAGAAACCTCAATCATTTCAGCTAAGTAAGAAATTCTAGGTAGAACCCTGGCTGGTGTGACTCAGTGGGTAGAGTGCTGGCCTGCAAACTAAAGAGTTGCCATTTTGGTTCCCAGTCAGGGCACATGCCTGGGTTGCAGACCAGGTCCCCAGTAGGGGGAGGGGGCTCAAGAGGCAACCACATATTAATGTTTCTCTCCCTCTCTTTCTCCTTTCCTTCCCCTCTCTCTAAAAATAAATAAATACAAACATTTCTTTAAAAAAAGAAATTCTAGGTAGAGTGAGGTGCTGGATTCTGATATTGCCACTATTGTAATGAGGAGTCAGATGTGGTAGAACTTTATATATATATGAATATATATTAATAAGAATATATATATTCTAAAAAGAAAAACTGTTCACGAAAGTTTGGTTACTCCTCATTCTATAAGGAGAGACCTCAAGTCTGGTCATGAACACTCATCATTCTGTGGCAAGAGAAATGCAGAACAGTTTCCTTTTCTTTATCTTTCTTCCCTCTCTGGACTGACAAAAGCATAGTCTTCTCTGCAATTTTGAAGTCCACAAAACTCTGAAAAATGCAAGTTTTCTCATAAGGTGGCACTAAAACTAACCTGGAGCAAAATCTGAGTGGAACCTATGAGAGGGTAGTTATAGTTTTTATGTATCCCATGTTTCACTACAAATACACTAATGTGATCACAGGTCCTGCTCCAGACATATATCTGAATAAAGATATAGCTTTTGAGGAATTATCAGCATATAGATGGTAACTGAAGTCATAAGAATGGTTGGAATGGTCCAGGGAATGAAGAGATAGAGAGGAGAAGAGGGCCTAGGACAGAGCCCCTGAGGACCAAATTTAATGAATGGATTCAAGGGAGGGTCCAGCAAAAGGAAGCCAGGAAGAAGTGAGAGAGAAAGGGGAAAAACATGACGTGGACATGCAGCAACTCAGAGAAGAGAATGTTTCAGCAGGGAGGGGTGGTTTTCCGTGTCAGCTGCACGGAGGTCAGCACTGGACCAGAGGCAATTTGGATTTGCAGCCTCAGAAGTCTTGTCTCCTGGAAGGCTGAGAACATGTCTTAAACCTTTTTACCTTTTTAACAGTGCTGAGCTGTGCTTTGTTCATTGTGGGTGCCCAATAAAGACTTGTCCATTAATTGAATATGTCAGTTAAATCCATACAGCAGAGAGGCAAACCTGCTTTTGTGAGGCCTCGTATTAGGTGAAAGACTGGGAAGACAACAGAAAGAGCAGAGAGAAGAACATAAAAAAATGACCAAGAAGTGAGACACATTCGCTCACTGGCATGAACAGTTGTAACGGAGAACATTTCATTCCTTATTACAGGGAAAAATGGTAGGGCTGGGTAATGAGAACACAGTAAAATTTGTAGGCCTTTGAAGTGGAAATGGTAAGAACCATGGTGGAGAGAGAAACTAGATTAATCAAATAAACGTTTTATTCTTAAACTATGGCTCAGGGCAGTTTATAGAACCTTAGAAATAATCAAGCAACTAATATTTCACAAATGATAAAATAAACACACAGAGAGGCTGCCTCTCTCATAAGGTAACAGCTAGTTACTGGCAAAGCCAGGACTCAAAATGTTTATAATGGAATAGCAGTCCAATGCTATTTCCTGTCTGTCCCTCTACACTTTTATCAGTAAAATCTGGTTAAAATGAACATCCAGATAGCTGTGATCACCTTCATGAAATCACAGGCACTGGGGCCAAAGCTCTTTCAATGGGGAACAGGTACCACGATGGAATCAAGGGTCAGAGATAGGGCGTTTTACTCATCCACCTCCTCTTAAAAACCCCTGGGAGGGAAGAGTCAAGCATGGCTTCAGAAATTCACTCTGGAAAATCAGTTTTTAAATGTATTAGGGGTGGAAAGAGTGTATTCTCTTTTCCAAATGGTGTTTATGATTTTTATAATCAGAAAACATACATTTTAAATATGTTTTTTAATGAAGGAGTAGGCAGATGGGAAGAGTTAAAGTGAATCAGGCTTTTTCCAGCGTGGCTTAGAATCAGGCTGTGCCAGATGAAAACGAGGCAGGGCTCAAGGGAAACCAATTTCACTTTCCCTTCCCTCTTGTTCTCTTTTGGTTTGGTTTGTAGGTTGCTGGTTTGGTTTAAAGGTGAACATCTGTGCAAGGCAGCAACTTGAATAGGGAAGACAACGGATACATTTTTCTTGACTTGGTGAGATGGCAGATGAGTTAAAGGAAGAAAAGAGAGAGAAAATGGACACGGGAGAATGTGACTTTGGGGGAACCATTTTCCCCAGAAAGGGGACGTTTTAACCTCTACAGCTTGGAACAGAGCATTCCAAAACAGCTGGAAAGTCCTTGATAACTTCTATAGATGAAGTAAATTAAAACCTTCTCCTGCCCCATGGGTCAAATCCTGCTGTTCATGAATAATCTTCAGGTTGCTGTCCAGCTGTCTCCAGATGAATGAGTCTCCCAAAGACTTGACAATTTGGCCTGAGAAGATGCGCCACGCTGAAAGTTCCAGTTGTCCCTGTAAGGGACTGGGTTTTTTGTTTTTTGTTTTGTTTTGGGGGTTTTTTTGTTGGTTTTTTTTTGCCTCAAAGATTCTAGGCCAGAAGTGTAGAAGAGCCCAAGAATGTTTCTGCTAGCAGCTTTTACTATAATTCATACCCCCACTTTTTAGTCAAAGAAATTCTATCCCTCAGGTCCACCCAGGAAGAAAACATCTTAGGATACACAGCACAGAGTCCTATGCTTCACATCAGAAAAGCCATCTTCACTCTGGGAAGAATCTATGGTGTCTCTCCACAATGTCAATAAGCTCATATCACTGATACGCAATAAGAGGGGTACCATAGCAGGAAGGCAGTGCCTTACTTGCTCTCTTGTTACTGTGAGAGGTTTCTTAGTTCAAGGAACTGAGCCTACTGCTGGGAGGCATTTCAGGGAAAAGGGAGCCATTGTCCCCAACAGGATGCACATTTTAAGAGCATGTCTCTTCATCAGCCTAACATAGGCTGGCTTCTCTGCTTGTGGATCAACAAAGTCCTTCTCAACAAATGTCAAATGTCTTTGTGTTTTAAAATATCCCCAAGAACAAATATTACTGAGGTAGATAATTATAACGTAGGCATTATTTTACCCAGCCTAATTCAATAAATATCAACTGAGTGGCTGACTTGAAAGAAACGATGCCACATTCTACTGGAAAACTAATGCAAGACCCTGGTCCCTGACCTCTAGGAGCTTATCATCTAGTAGTCAGGGACCCAAGGCATGTCAGCTATGGGCTCTGTCACACCAAATGTTTCCTATAGAGGGGAACCTATTGCTCCCTGCTCTGAGAGAAAGCACCAAGCTCTTCCATGTCCAGGAATGGCCACTGATTGGTCCAAGACCAGGGGACTAGCCCAAGGGTCACCCCTACCTCCATAGGTGAGGGGGTGCTCCATACCCCAGGAGGCTGACCTATAGTTACTACATTTAAGAGTTTCCTTATCCTCTGACTTGTAGTGGAGTTCAGCCAAGTGGGGAAACCTAGCCAGAGATAAGAAGGAAGTGGGCAAGTGATATTGGGATATTCACACCTCCACTGAAGGCTACATTCTTGTAATGTGGCCCTCTCTCTGTCACCCCTCTTCTGCTTACACCTCACTTCTTTAGGCCTAGACCTAGTAATGACTCCCAACCCAATGTTACCAGCCCAAGCTAACACCAACCTGTTGTGGTTTCCCCTCCAACCTTTGTAAATAATCCTTTTAATAAACACTCCTCAAAGCACCCAGTGTGAATGTATCATCTGTTCCCTGCTGAGCCCTTGCTTGATAGAGGTTTACAAAACTCAAATGTGCAGTCTTTGCTGGTTTTTCCTCTCTGTATTCTGCTCAACTCTATCAGCAAACACTCATTGCTTCACAGAGACAAGATGACCAAGAGGACATTTTCTCAAACTAGACTAGTGTGAGGTGAGGGTGGTGGGGTGGCAGAAGAAGAGCAAGGAAGTGTCCTGCCTCGATGCCAATAAATTCACTGCATGAATGCTAAGTGAGAAAGACAATCTGGTAGCTACCTTCCCCAGGATAAAATCTGGATCCAACCTTCTGTTGGGCAGGAAAATTTCCGTCTCAGATAAAATTCATTTCTTTGGCTAAAAATGCTATAAGTTACACAACCACAAAATAATCATTGGAAAGGGTCTCTTGGTGAGAAGGCCATTGCTCTGCTCCAACCACACAGTTAATTTACCCAAATTAATGCCGCTGAAGCAGAGTGGGAGTAGAATCTTATTTCCTATGTTATTTTTGCCTTTTAAATATTGATAAGCTCTCAAAAAGCAAAGGTTAGTGAGCCTATCAAGCTATGCTCTTCTTTCAGCCTTTAGAATGAGGTTAGGGAGAGTGGGTAGGCTGTAGGCAGTAGGGCTATTTTTATTTTTGTGACTATTTACCATCTCTGAACACACTAATGGGGAAAATTACATTGTAAATTTTCTAAAAAGGAGACTAAAAGGGTCTCGAATGATCCAAAGCTATCTCTCACCTCTAAGAAAAATATCCTCCTTCAGCTCTTTGGTGCATATTGTCTACTTGGGATCTGGCTTTTAAAACAAGTTTCCCAATGGGCAGATTCAACAGCAGTCTAAGATAGAAGTGCCTTATTTCCTATCTAAGATTCAAATGGGAAAACAGGATCTTACTCTGGCCAGTGTGACTCAGTTGGGCGTCGTCCTGCAAAGAAAGCAAAAGGTTGCAGTTTCGATTCCTGGTCAAGGTCAAATGCCTGGGTTATGGGTTCAGTCCCTGGTCCAGGCCTGTATAACAGGCAACCGATCAATGTTCCTCTCTCACATTGATGTTTTTCTCCCTCCCTTTCTCTCTCTCTCTCACTTAAAAAAAAAAAAAAAAAGCCGGATCTCAATTTATTTGTTTTCTTTTCCCCTCCTGTTCCCTTTTCCCCTCATCCCTTTAAGAAAAGGATATACTGGTTTATTTAGTCCTCAGTCTTTTGGCAACAGGCATTAAAAAGAAAGAATCATGTGGTAATTATTAATTTTGCATGGGATCAACTCTGGCTTCAGCTTTCATTTGAAATGCAGTTACATGAAAAACAGATTGCGTTAATTTCATCCCCTCTGGGGTTGCTTGGCAACAAGGCCTTGTTCCAGATGATTTCCTCTCCTTGGCCCAGAGTGATCTCTTTGGGGTGTCACTCATGCTAAAGCAATCATCAAACTGTTGCTATCGCTTCTGAATGTGTCCCTATGGTCCTGATAGCACAGGGGATTGGTGGCTTTGCTCCAGTCATACTGTCTGGGGTCTTTATAACCCCTGAGCTTGCCAGCACATAAAACTATGCATGGGGAATTTGGGATTCAAACAATCAAGTTTAGACAAAAAAGAGAGAGAGCATAAGCAATTCCTGAGGAAATACTGAAAAGCAGGAGGGCTGACATGGGATAAATACTGACGTCCCTTAAAAAAAAGCATAACTATGTTGTGTTTTGGAATTCTTTTTAAGCTATATCATTAAATGAATAATGCAAGGTCCAGAACAGAATGCATAGGATTCTAGCTTTTGAGTGGAGGCGGAAGGTGGGAGAAGAGGGGAAGGTATGAAAATATTTTATGTTTGCATAAAGAAAAATACAGATGGTCACCTGTGAGTGTTTGTGAGGAGTGAGAATGATGGACTAGAAAGGGTAGAGGTGAGACCAAGATTTTTCACCTGCATGTTATCTAGTTTAAAAAAAATTTTTTTAAATAAAAATTAAACAAGTGTTGGAAACCCAGAGGTAGTTTTTAATGTTTGGCAGTGTTGAGAAACTTGGGTAAAGATTATATAGGAATTCATTTGTAACTTTCTTTGATGAGTCTGAAATTATTTCAAAATTAAAGTTCAAAGAAATGTTTTCAATATTAGCAACCCCGACACATTTTTTAGGCATTCCTTCCTGTTTAACATCGTTCTTGCTGTCTGTAATGAAGGGAGTCAGTCTGCATATTTTGAATATTTTGAGGGACGTGGTAGGAGATGGGGGCATATCTGAGCATTTTAAGCTGCAGAGAAAAGCGTTCGGCTAGGACCATTAGCTTTAATCAGAGTGCAGTTTCATCCACATCCCAAATGGCTTTAGTAATGGTCCCTAAAGGTCTAAGGAGAAATAAGTGACAGCCTCCTGAGGGACTGGACTCACTGAGTATTGAACTCCCATAATGAAAGCATCACTCTTCAATTCATATAAGCCCTTAATTGTGCCTTCATGATTTTCCTGGACAATCTTTAGAGTTTTCTCTCATCTCTGCAGCAGACAACCATCTCTTCATTTTCTGAATGATTCTATTTTTATCTTTCTCCATGAAACTAAGCTCTTTGAGGGCAGGTGCAATAGCTGAGTCATAGACATACATAGCTTCCTAGCATAGCATAATACATACCTTCTTCTTAAGTTTTTATTTTGAAATAATTATAAATTTACTTGAAGTTGCAAAAAAATATACAGAGAAGTTATAAACACTTATATTTTTAAAGAAGAAAATTCTTAAATAAATAACCTCACTTTTTCCCTAACTAAAAGTAACTAGAAAAAGAAGAGCAAACTAAATCCAAAGCAAGTGGAAGGAATGAGGAGAGTGGGGAGATTAGAGAAGAAGTAAATGAAATAGAGAATAGAAAAACAATGTAGAAAACAGTAAAACCAAAAGTTGGTTCTTTGAAAAGATCAACAAAATTGACAAACATTTAGCTAGACAAAGATAAAAGGAGAGAAGACTCAAATTACTACCAACCTTACGAAAATGAAAAAAACTAAAACTGAAAACTGAACAACTGTATTCCAACAAATTAGATGACATAGATGAAATGAAAAATTTTCTGGGAAGACAAAAGCTACTGAAACTGAGTCAATAAGAAATAGAAAATCAAAACCACAACAAGATATCATTTCACACCCACTTGGACAGCTATAATTGAAAAGACACAATGAAGTGTTAATGAGGATGTGGTGGACTCAGAACTTTCATATGCTGATGCTGGGAATGTAAAATGGTAGAGCCTTGGAAAATTGTGTCAGCCCTTCAAAAAGTTAAACACAGAGTTAGGACATGACCCAAAAATTCCACTATTCAAGAAAATTGAAATGTGTGTTAAAAAAAAGCTGGTTCATAAATGTTCATTGCAGCATTATTCATAATAGGCAAAATATAGAACAGCCTAGATGTCCATCACTTAATGAATCAATAAACAAAAGGTGGCATATCTATAAAATGGAATATATTATTCAGCTATAGAAAAGAATGAAGTACTGGTACATGCTACAATACAGATGAATCTTGAAAACATGCCAGGTGAAAGATGCCTGACACAAAAGGACACATATTTTTATGATTACACTTATGTGAAATATCAAGAATAAGCAAATCAACAGAGAGAACAGTGATTTCTAAAGGACAGGGGAGGGGAAAATGGGGAGTGATTACTAATACATATAGGGTTTCTTTTGGGGTGATGGAAGTGCTCTGAGGTTAGTGGTGATTGTGGCATAACTGTGACTATACTAAAAACAACTGTATTTTATGCTTGCAGGGGTGTCCAACCTGTGGCCCATAGGCCAAATGCAGCTCAGGATGACGATGTATGTGGCCCAATGCAAAATTGTAAATTTACTTAAAACATTGTGAGATTTTTTTTGGTGATTATGTACCACAGTATGTTTAATGTGTGGCCCAAGACAACTCTTCTTCTTCCAGTGTGGCTCAGAGATGCCAAAAGGTGGCACAACCCTGCTTTAAGGGTGAATTTTAGGGGGTATGAATTATATGTCCATAAGAAAAAAGAATGCATATAATAGCAACACCTAAATGCCTTTTAAAATGTAATGAGAGATTCCATTTACTCTTTACTTATTTTCTCCAATGGTAACACCTTCCATAACTATGGTTTCATATCACAACCAGGAAAATGACATGAATGCAATCCATAAAGTTTATCCTAATTTCACCAGCTTTACATTCACCTGTGTGGGTGCGCATGCAGTTCTATGCAATTTTGTCACATGTGTGTATTCATGTAATCACCACTACAGTTAAGATACAGTACTGTTTCATCATTACACAGTTCCTTCCTGCTACCTGTTTGTACTCGTACCCTCCCTTTTCCCTTCATCCCTAAACCCTAGCCACCACTAATCTGTTCTCTATCTCTAGTTTATTTCAAAATTTTAATATAAATTGTTATTATTATATACAATGTTGTATAAATGTAACTTTCTGAGTTTGGCTTTTTTCACTTAGCATAATTCCCTTGAGATCCAGCCAAGCTGTATGTACCAATAATTCATCCCTTTTATTTATTTTTTGTAATGCAGTGTTTTTTTTATCATGTCCATTAATAACTAACATATTTAAGAACATTTACAATATAAATAGAACTGAACCTAAA